TAAGGTTTTATATATGTCATCCCATTGCCTTCTTGCTTGCATGGTTTTTGCCGATTCATCAGAACTTAGTCTTATTGTTTTACCTCTGTACGTGACTTTTTGTTTTTCTCGAGCTGTTCTCAGAATTCTTTCTTTGTCTTTGGTTTTGGCGAGTGTGATTATGATATGCCTTGATGATTTTCTTTTGGGGTCTGTCTTATATGGAATTCTTTAGGCTTCTTGAATGGTCAGCTTTTAATCCTTGATGATATTAGGGAAGTTTTCTGTCAGCTGTTCTTCAATAATCCTCTCTGTGTTTTCCATTTTCTCACCCTGTTCTGGAACTCTGATCCCTTGCAGATTTTTGCTTTTGATTGTATCCCACATAATTCTCAGAGTTTCTTCATTCTTTTTTTCTGATTTTTCCTCAAAGAAAGTGTACCCAAGTGTTTGTCTTCAGTTTCGCTGATCCTGTCTTCCCTTGTTTCAAACCTGTTCTTCAGCCCTTCTACAACACTGTCCGTTTCCAAAATCTTGTTGTTTATCTTTTGGATATCTAATTGTTGTTTTGTCTGATTTCTACGTGTGAATTTATTTTGGCATTTTGTTCCTGTATTATTTTCCTAAATTCTTCCTTTTTTTGGTCTTTTTTTTTTTTCTATGATTTTGTCTGCCTTTTCCATGAATTTGTCTATTTTTCCTCATTTTTGCCTGCTTTTTGCTTCAACTCTTGGATAGCTCAGAATATTAGAGATTTGAATTCCCTATCAGGTAGTTTTAGTGCTTTTCTTCTACTGGAAAGTCATCTGGTGTTTTATTTTGGACTTCTACTGGAACCATTCTTTCCTTTTTTTCATATGTTTTGATATTTTCTGTTGTCTTTTGAACATTCAGTAATTTCTTCATTTATTGATTGTAGATTTGTTTGTTTTGTCCTGCTTTTTTGTTTTATTTGGTTATGTCTGAGCAGGTGGGCTGTATGCTCTTTGTTGTTTCCTCATTTGTGGACACGATATTTTTCACCTCCTTGTCCAATGGGAAAAGCCAATCACTCAGCTATGATGCAGCAGGGCAGATCCAGGTGAAGGTGAGTTTCTGGGATGTGTTGTTTGTGGAACATACTGGGGTTGACAATGTGAGCTGGGGCTCATTTCAGGGCAGGTTCTGGTAGGCTGTGACCATTCTGCTTGGAAGTGCAATGTTCAGCACGTGGTGCAGATAGGCAGGAATGAGGGGGAAAAGGAGATTATGATATGTGGAGCTAGGTTAGGTAAGGAAAAGATGAGAGAGAGAGAAACAGGAGCAAAACAAAACAAAAAAAAAATTGTTGAGGGAGCTTACACTTGAAGTGGAGAGACAAGAAACTGAGAAATGAAGAAAAACAAAAATAAAAATATAGTAAAAAAATGAAAATTAAAGATAAATTGCTCCCAGGGATCCCACTGGTGAGGCTGCACAGACCGGGGAAGTGGCTCCCAAGCTGCACAGTACAGTCTGGCTAGAATGGATGGAGATGATATACAGCACCAGGTATTTAGGAGACGGGAAAAGAAGGTAAGAAGAAAGAGATGAATAACCGAGCAATGAAGGAAGATAAAAAGGAAAAAAGAAAGCTAAAACAAACAAAAAAGCCCCCAGGGATCCCACCAATGTGGCTGTGCGGACCGGGGAACAGTTCCCCAGCTGAGCAGTGCTTCACAGTCTGTCAAGAAGAAGTAAAAATGGAACATAAAGTCAGGTGTTTGAAAGAAAGGAGGAGGAGGAGGTGAGAGGCAGGGAAGAAACCAAAAAAAGCAACGCCAGCAACAAAGAAATGGCAGTGAAGAAGCTGGCCAGTGTGGGTGGTGCGAATCCGTGTGGCACAGAACTGGTGCATCCTGTGCTGTGGCCTGCTGGGAAGTGGAGGATCAGTCCTCTAGGAAGCAGCAAATTGGTCCACTGGGAAGCCATGGTTCAGCCAGCCTGGAAGTGGCAAAAGTCAAGTAGGGGGAGGCAGGGTGGGGGGTGGGAAAGCTTGTCTTTCTGGTTACCAGGTGCTTTGTCTCCTGCTAAGAGCTCTGTGAATTTGCTTTTCTGTACTCCCTGTCCACTGATCTCTAACAGGAGTCCAAGATGGTGGATCTGTGCTGCATTAGCTGATAGTGGACCTCAGCTCGTAACTCTCCTCCCTCTCTGTTCTCTGTAAATTTCTTAGTCCATTTGGTGCTTGGTTGAGTTCTTTATCTCTTCATTTGATACTTAGGGTTGCATGATTTACATTTGTCTCTGTTTACTTAGTTTTTCGGGTCTTTGCTATGGAGGGATGGCATGGTGCTTTTGTCTATAGTGCCATGTTGGCTCCGCCTCTTTTAAAATGTTCTTATTCTTTTTTTTTTTTTCTGATTAAGAAGTTATCCTTCTTATTTTTGTTCTTTAGTAGTTATGTCTGCTCATGTCCTACTTTACCTCCAGCTTCAGTACTTAGTTTTGCCTTTGGAGAAGCTTCTTATTTTCTAGAGAATTTAGGAATCACTGAACGCTATTTTAATTGTAATTTACCAGCAATTTATATTATAATAAGTATTACAGTGAGTAATTTTATAGCAAAATTTACAACAAGCAATTTATCTTGTATTTTAGTGAATATATTTGATCTGAGATATAGCTGGAATCAGAATTCTAAAATACAAGCACTCTTTTAAGTTTTTTATGGGTTGAAGCTAAGATTTCTTTCTTTTCTTTCTTCCTCTCCCTCCCTCTCTTTCTTCCTGCCTTACTCAAACACATAACATATTTTGAGGGTCTATTATATCTAAGTCTCTTTCTCTGTCTCTATGCATCTATGTATCTACCAGACCCTTTGTGGTGTAGTGTTAAGAGCTCGGCTGCTAAACAAAAGTTCGGCAGTTTGAATCCACCAGCTGCTCCTTGGAAACCCTATGGGGCAGTTCTCCTCTGTTCTATAGGTCTCTATGAGTTGGAATAGACTCCATGGCAACAAGTATGTTTGTTTGTTTGTGTTTTTAATGTATCTGTTTATCTAATCTGTCTACATTTAAGGAGCCCTGGTGGTGCAATGGTTAATTGCTTGGCTGCTAACTGAAAAGTTGGTGATTCGAACCCACCCAGCAGCTCTGCAGGAGAAAGATTTGATGATTTCCTCCTGTAAAGATTACAGCCTAGAAAACCCTATGGGGCAGTTCTACTTTGTCACATGGGGTCACTATGAGTCGAAAATCAACTCGATGGCATACAACAACATTATATATTTAGCAATGCTCTAGACACTGGGAATAAGATAGATCCCTAGAAACTGCAAAGAGGCATCCAGTGTGAAAAGATTAATAGCCCACTTTTTCTGGAAAGCATTATGATGCAACCCTATATTGATTTGCTAATCTGATAAAAATGGCTATGTCTCTGGATTCAGGGATTAAATAGAAACAGGCACCTAATAATGTTGAATTACATGCTCACATTTAGGCAATATTTAATGTAGTGAGATCTCACTCATTTTCTATCCAAATTAGTTATTTTTATTGAACTAAATACATACTTTAATTAAATGAATCCACATTCTAAAGGAAATTATTTACAGGTTTGGTTACAAACTTTCCAGGAATAGATTTTCTTTTTCTTTTTTTTTTTTTCTCATAAATAGGTCTTTTTGACTTTAAAATCAGTTCTGGTTAAAATTCCAGAAATGTTGTTATGATCTCTCTCACACATCCAATTCACTCTAGGTAGTGTATAATTTTGTAAGGTATTTTAAGTCTGTTTGCTCTGTCCTATAATTGCTCTCTTTCCCAAGACTGCCCTGAGTTTCCCTTCAAAGTAACGCTGGTACCTTTTCTTTTCCAGTAAGGACATTACCTTATAATATGCTCAATGTCATTTCATTGGAGGAGAAAGTTAGTGAAGTCTAGTTTATGCTAGGCCCTTGTATCTAACAGAAGGAAATTTCACTATTAAATAACCCAGTGGAATCTTGCCATTACTGAGTCCTGATTCTATTGCATTAAAATTTTCAAATGATCTCTTTTATTCCTGGGACACTTGCATACCTAATTGTCAAGTTTAGTTTATGATCCTTGTTACTCTTTAAGTGTTTAATTGAGTTAGTGGTTATAGCTGACTCATAAACCCATAAAACCCTTCAGTGGTAAACTAATTAGCCACTGCACCTGCCCTCCAAATAATTAACATTGTTCATTACTAGTAATCAGCACTGGCATTATTAAAAGTTATCTTACCACTCAGTTGTGTAAAGCAGAGACTTTCAAACTTTTTTGATCATGCCCAGAGTGAGAAATGTGCTTCACAGGACAACCCAGGATACACACACACACACACACACCTGGAATAAATGTTTCATGAAACAATACTTACCAGTACTGTGTATGATGAACTCTGATATTTTCTATTCTATTCTACTCTACCCTCTTTCACTAAAAAATATACTGACTTACTAAATAGTTTTTACCATCCACTAATAGGTTGCAAAGGAGCCCTCGTGGCACAGTGGTTGAGCACTCGTCTGCTAACCAAAAGATCAATGGGTCGAACCCACTAACTGCTCCTTGGGAGAAAGATGCAGCAGTCTGCTTCTGTAAAGATTTACAGCCTTGGAAACCCTATGGGGCAATTCTACTCTGTCCTATAGGGTCGCAGTGAGTCAGAATTCGACTCAATGGCAATGGGTTTGGTTTTGGTTGGTTTAATGGATTGTGAAGGAGCCCTAGTAGCACAGCGGATAAGCACTTGGTAGCAAACCTAAAGGTCAGCTGTTCAAACTCACCAGATGCTCCATGGGAGAAAAGACCTGGCCATCTGCTCCCATAAAGATTACAGCCTAGGAAACCCTATGGGATAGTTCTACTCTGTCCTGTAGTGTCATTATGAGCCAGCATCAATTCGACGGCACACGACAACAGTGGGTTGTGACTTGCCGTTGGAAAAACACTGGCTTAAGAAAACCTTTACACTGAAACAAAACGTTAAGAAGAATCAACAAAAAAAATTTTTTTAAAATTAAAACTTACTTATTTCCTTCACCATTATAAACCCACTTAGTGGTGCCAATTCCTTCATAGTTTGAAGCCCAGTAATAAATACAGGTATTAATGTGCAGAATAAACAGCAAGTATCCAGTTGTTCGAATGACCCTGTCAAAGATAATAAAGGCAAAGTAAGGACTCAGGTTATTCCTGGAATGCAGTCTGTTTTAACATTTTCTTTTCCTTAAAGTCTCCATCGAACCCCCTTGCTTTAGACTGAGAACTGTTAGCTCTCATTCAAAAAAACCAAACCCATTGCCGTCAAGTCGATTGTGACTCATAGTGACCGTATAGGACAGAGTAGAACTGCCCCACAGGGTTTCCAAAGTGGTAAATCTTTAAGGAAGCAGATTGCCACATCTTTCTCTCATACAGTGGCTAGTGGGTTCATACTGCTGACCTTTGGGTTAGCAGCCAAGTGCTCAACTACTGTGCTACCAGGGCTCTTTAGCTCTAATTAGTGCTGTATAAAATGATGGTGTCATTGCATGTTTTCAGACTACAGTGTCTTGACTGGGACTGACAAGAGTGTAAAAAAAAAAAAAAGATATATCTTCTCTTTTCACAGATGGTGTGAGTCAACTCCATGAAAGACATGTCCTCAAGGGTCCCCTTTTTAGTTCAAGTCCCATAAAATATGCCACACTGATTCAGATGGGTATCTCTGAAAAGCTTATGGGCTTTATGCTACGATTAAGCCTGACTAAAGGTCTCTGTGCAAGTGAAGTTCAGAACAGCAAATGGATGAGCTTCAGGTTAGGGATAAATTATGATGAGACAGATGTAAAATCTACTTGTGAAAGGACATGTTTCTCTACTTGTTCTGACTGAAGTAGGTAATAAGTTCTATTTTCATTTTAGTTCTGTATTCATCTAGGAGCCCTGGTGGCTCAGTGGTTAAGACCTCAGCTGCTAATCAAAAGGCTGGTAGTTCGAATCCACCAGCCACTCCTTGGAAACCCTATGGGGCAGTTCTACTCTGTCCTATAGGGTTGCTATGGGTTGGAATTGACTTGACAGAAATGGTTTTTTTTTTTTTTTTTATATTCCTCTAAATCTAATATGATTTTTATACTTTCATCTCACTTAAAAAGTATCCAAATCTACAACTATTGGTATCTACCCATCTGGATCAAAAGAGAAAGAAGGAAACCGAAGACTCAAGGAAGAAACTAGTCTATAGGACGAATTGTCTACCTGAACCATGGCCTCATCTACCCTGACACCAGAAGAACCAAATGGTGTCTGGCTACCAATACCAATCGTTCTAATTAGGGCCGCAACAGATGGACCCTGATAGAGAAAAATATGGAACAGAACCTCAAATTCCTAAAAACAAACAAACAAACAAACAGGAACAGACTTACTGGACTGGTTGAGACTAGAGGACTTCCTGAGACTATTGCCCTGAGAAGCTCTTCAAATCCTGAACCAAAACTAAATCTTGAGATCACCTTGTGGCTAAATAACAAATTGGCTTACAAAATAATGATTATCACCCGTTAAGTACTGTGCTTCTTTTAAAAAAAAACACCTATATGAGACTAAATGGTCAACAATTACCTTAAAACAAAGATAAGAGGATAAGAGGGCAGGGAAAATAGATTAATGGAAACAGAACAACCAGAATGGAAATAATGAGAACGTTCATGCATTGTGAAGAATGTAATGAACGTCACTGAACCATTTGTGGAGAGATTGTTGAATGAGAACCTAAATTACTGTGCAAACCTTCACCAAAAACACAATAAAATATTTTAAAAAAGGTATCCAAATCAGTCTTAGAACATAACCCTATGTTTTATATAGCCAAAAATTCTGAAATTGTCCATTTTTCTTGAAGAGGCAGTCACATTCCCCCCAAATGTGCCTAAAAATGCTATATCTTTGCTTCTCTCCTTTCACCCCCCCCATTATAATGAGTTATATTTTACCTGTAGATGTATGCCTTGTCCATTATAGACTCTAGGTGGTGATTAAACTCAAAAAATGAGGTGTACTATGCAGAAAACAAGCAAAAGAAATCCAAAAGCATATTAGTCTTATTTAAATAACACTATGTAAAGTAAATTTTATATGCTACTGAAAATAATTTTATTCATATATCTTTTTTTTGAAGTCCAGGACCTGTTTAGTGGTATTTTCCTCTGGGCCATTCATTTTAGCATAGTGGCAAATTTCCAGAGCTTCTTGCTTTATTTTATTTTTACCCCCTAGTTACAGTATTGTTTGTAATGCTAATTGAAAATCAGACTTAAAAACATTTCTTTTTTTTAAGCATGTAGTAGAACTTTATTTTATAATAATTAAAATCAAGCTCTCCCAAACAAAAGTAAAACAAGAAAAGTATAATATAGCACATTGAAGCCATAAATAGGTATTAAGCCTTGTTGCAATTTGCATTAGATCTATATTTATTTCAACATAATTTAAAGCCCAGTAAGTATTTGTATAGGTTAGCTGTTTTTTACATTGTTCAGAGATACAATGACTCTATATACACCTAATCTAAACAGAGTTCCTATTTTTCTCAACGTCTTTTCCTATTACTCCCTACTTACACTCCCACCTCCCACTTCCTCTTTCATTGTATGAGAAATATAATTTAGGGGTAAGAGCTTGAAATTAAGAGCCAAATGGCAATTACAGCTCTGCCACTTACTAACTGTGTGACCCTGGAAAAGTCACGTAACCTTCCTGTATCTTGGTTTCCTCATTTGGAAAATGTGGATAATAAGAAAACATGCCTCCTAAAGAGGTTGTGTGCTCACATGAATTAATATATTTAAAGTGCTTAGTATGCTAACTGGCACGAATAAAGCTTTATTCCTATGTTTGCTATCATCATGGCCAAAATGATTTAGGTTGCTAGGAGTTTTGTCTTTTGAAAAGTGAGGGTTTGCTGTATTATTTGCATCTTTAGAAGTTTTATCTGCTACTAAACTATATATTAAAAGTAGAATCATAGGATCTTACAGATGGAAGGAATCTTAGAGATTACGTAGTTCAAAATTTGATACAATGTGAATATGACTGCAATAGAACATTTGGAATTAAAAAATAAATGTAATAACTATTTAATTAAAAATATACACAAATGACTTGTTTTGTTTCAAAACTCCTGAATAGGGAAAATCCCTCAAATATTCAAATTAAGATAATTTCAATTTGTGGGAACTTGCTTATTGCTTATTGTGTTCCTTAATGGAAGTTTGCCTGAAGGGATGTTTATAAATTTTGCTTAAGTGTTCACTATAGAGAAACTTACCATATTCTTTTTTAAAAAAAGTTTATTGTGGTGAAATATATGTAACAAAACATTTGGTATTTCAACAATTTTCACATGTACAATTCAGTGACATCAGTTATACTCACCATGTTGTTTCCAATTTTTTTTTTATCATCCTTAACAGAATTTCAGTACTCCCAATTTATTTTTTCATTTATAACTTGGAGACAGATAAATAATAAATATTTTCCTTAGAGAATTGTGCATTAAAATGTCACCCGTATAAAAGGACTTGATTTAGGGGCTATGAAAAGATCAATTTTGACTTTCAGAATATCCTATATTTTAAGAAAAATACTGGCAAATAGGTTTTGGACACCATAAAAAACAAAACAAAACAAAAACAGTTGCCATCAAGTTGATTCCAACTCATGGTTACTCCGTGTGTGTCAGAGTAGAACTGTGTTCCACAGGGCTTTCAATGGTTGATTTTTCAGAAGGAGATCATCAGGCCTTTCTTCTGAGGAACCTCTGGGTGGACTCAAACCTCCAACCTGTTGGCTAGCAGCCAAATTTGCTAACCACTTGCAACACTCAGGGACTCCTTTGGACACCACAGGGATACAGAAATGGGGGTGTGAATAGCTGGCATTTTACAAACTGTTATTAAAATGTCAGACCAACTCCCCAATTCATAAGAACCTGGGTCTTGCTTGACGTTATCTCTGAGAAGAGATCTCCTGAAAACTTCCAGGTAAGGCTAGAAATTTGATGGGAGGTGGACTGGCCACTAAACTGCTCGGAACATTATGCTCTGCCTCTATCTAGACCCACATTCCATAGTCAAACCAGAAGTCTTCAGAGTTGCTTGGATGTCTGGGCATATAGGTAAGGTCCCTCCTGACTTGGCAAAATCAGAGGCATGGAAGGAAAGCCCTTTCAATGTGACACGTATCTGCCAAATTCATGTTAGTAAAGAATTTGGAGTGGATAAATACGCGATAGAATGCAGATACTGTCACTCACCAGCAGCTTGAGCCTGGACAGATTTTTTTTACCGGACGATTTCTATTTTCTCATCTCTTAAATGAAGTTGCTGGGAGGAATAAGCAAGTTAAAGAATCTGAAGTTTTAGCAACAGTTACCCATTGTTGCTATTGTTGTGGATGTTCCTGGGTGGTGCAAACAGTTAACATGCTTGGTTGCTAACTGAAAGGTTGGAGGTACCAGTTCACTCAGATGCTCCTAGGAAGAAAGGTTTGGCAATCTTTTTCTGAAAAATTATTGAAAACCCTATGGAACACACTCTGCCACACATAGAATCACCGTGAGTCAGAGTCAACTAGATGGCAACTATTGTTGCTGCTGTTATTATTATTGTTGTTGTTGCTGTTATTGTCAGGATTCACCAGTGTCACCGGTTTACTGTCTTGTCTTCCCAAGACTGCAGAAGAGATAATCACCTAAACTTTATAGATTCATTAGTGTCCTTTTTTAAGGCTGTCTTTGGAAATACAAGATATTATTGCTATTACTGTTGTTAATGATTTAAATGAAATTTCAAATTCTAGTTCTCCTGAGATTCTTTCTAGGTACCAAATGGAGCTATGAGTTATAAAACATTTATGTCTTAGAATTCTTTTGAATATGCAATACATTCACATATTTAAATAACAATAAAAAATATATACTTTAAAAAGTCTTGCTACTACTTCTGTCCCTATACATCCCACTTTTCCTTCTTACTCCCCAACCCCCACTTCCTTCTTCAGGTAACCACTTTAGTTTTTTGCAGTTTTTCATTGTTTAAGTAAATACAGGAAAATAGGATATTTTTTCCTTTCTGTTACACAAAAGTTAGAATTTTCTGTAACAAATTTTTTTTTTAGTTATCAGTTTGTTTTGGAGGTTTCTCTATATCCACATAGAAAACTTCCTCTTTTGTTTTTTTAAAGCTACAAAGTATTCTATTATGTGAATGTATCACAATTAATTTAGTTTTTAGTTCCTCTGGATAGACATTTAGTTTTTACTCAAGTAGGTAAATTTCTTTTGATGCAAAAATGTTTGCATTTTTCTAGAATTACTGAATTTCAGATATGTAAGTTAACTTAGAGGTCATCTAATCTAACTCTCTCATTTTATAACCAATATTCGAGGCATTCCGTAACTGTGTGATAAAAAGGAAAAAAAACTTAATATTATAAAAGATTCTTTTGAAATCGTAACAGTATTTAGAGGTACAAAAGCATTTCTATCTTTGATGATAATAATACCAATGTGAGATACAGTATAAAAACTAGTACCAACGCCTGTCGGTAGAAGCAATGATATTTTTTCTTCATTCATTTTTTTAGAATTCATAGCACTGATGAGAGCAGAGAAATGGAGGACAGTTTGGAAAAACTAAGAATATTGGTAACTTTAGGATAGTTTAAATCATTCCAAGATTTTTATTATTATAAGAAAAAACAGTTAAATATAATTCTTACCTTTAATATCCTATTTGTTCTAAATATTGGATTAAACCCAAAGAAGAGGTAGAAAACATCAAATGGTATTACTGATATGAGATCCAACTGTTGGAAGAGCACATTTCAGAATTATCTTGTGTTTATATACTTTTATGGGCATGGATGGATTTATACTGACATATACAAGTTGACCTGTCACTCTGAATTATCTGTTGTTTAATCCAAAATTGTGATCAGTTAAATATCTACGGTGCCACTGAAAGGCATATTAGCACCATGAAAACAAGAGCACTATTGCAGCCTCAGTGTAATGAGGAAAACTCTCAATGAGATGGATTGCACAGTAGCCTCAACAATGGGCTCAAACATATAAAGATTATGAAGAAGGCACAGGACCAGGCAACATGTAGTTCTATTATACACAAGGTTGTCACGAGTAAGAGCCAACCCCATGGCAACTAATAACAACATTGTAGCCTATTTCCAATGTAGGCATTTAACCTTCATTCATCTGATCTCTCCCTAGGCACTGCATTTGCTGGAATTTTTGTGGCATTGTCACATAACCTTCAATGACAGCATGGTTGCTAATGTTAAAATAGATTTTAATAGTGTTTCAAACACGAGGCTCTTGGCTTGAAAATCAAACCCATCCTTGATTTTATTTGAAACCATTGCATATTCATTGCAGTGATATATTTTTATGTTTCAGACAATTTTCCCAGTGCTTAGGGCTGATTATATTGCTGGTGGTTGATCTACACTCCTTAACTGTGTCTACTGAAATTTACTTTTGGACAATTTGCTACCAGTAAACTGCTGTGAAAGTATCTACCAGAGACTGTGCAAGCTAAAAGAGAGGAAAGTAATGAAATCAGTTCCTTTCACAATAACGGGCATGCGTTGCTTATAGTCCACAATACGTTCTGCGAAACAGAACCTTATGCGAATTGGGCGTTGTGCTAACACCATGTTATATACAGGCAGTCCCTGCGTTACCAATGTCCTACTTATGTACAGCCCGTGGTTGCAACTCAGTAAAGCCTGTTATATTAAAACCTTATGGGAGCTCGCTTTCAGTTATCCTCGTTGCTGCTGGGTGTCCTTTGTTTATTGATTTCCACCTGACCGCTCCAGAAAGGATTCAAGATGAAGGGTGGCTCCAGCATCTCCCACAGCCAGGATGGCAATCGAACTCTGGAGCCCACATGTTAAGAGATGACTGCCGTCTCCAGGGGAGGAGCTTTGCAGGCCTGGACTGTAGGATGGGGCCTCCGGGGTACCGCCTCGGGCTGGTCGGAGATCATGGAGGAACAGCTACCTTCCTAAGCCAGGTAAGGCAGCTGCGTCCACACAGACTGTGACCTGGGGTTCAGGGGTTGCCTCTCACAGTCAGAGATCTGGGACTGTGCGGTCGGCTTGCTCCCCCATGAACCATCAGCGCACTTGTGGGCCTGGAAGGGTTTAACCAGACTGGATGATGCAATGAGGAGGCTAGAGCAGCTGGTGGGGACGGCTTCCGTTTGCGCTGTGTCTGGTCGTGCAGGCCTTGGCGAGTTGGAGCCCTCTAGGAATTGGGCCCCACTTGAAGGCGGTCGGGTGTGAGTCCGGACAGGCAGGGAGGGGCAGCACGCTGAAGAGAGAAGCTTGGGATACGATGTCATTCAGTACGATAAGGCTAGAGTCCTGGCCTCAAGATTCTAAAGCCAAGACGAGCCACCTTCTTGGCCTCTCGGGCCCCATCTTGGCACAGAGGGATGTGGGCATCAGGAAGCAGCTGCTTGTGTCCCTGCTGTTCCATCCCGTACCCCGCCGTATCCCGCTGCCCCCTCTGAATGCCAGTGGGCTCCAATTCCAACGAGGGGTGGCCAGAGCTAGCCGATGTGTGTGGCCATTGGGGGTGGGGGTGTAGGCTGCTTGCTTACTTCCCCTGGGAGACAAGTCTCTTTGCCTTTAGGTAACTTCAGCTTTTAGCTGCTGAATATTCAGAAGCGGGTCTGCCCCGCTAGGCCCCGCTAGGCCTTTGGGAGGAAGCCGGCGAGAAGGCAGCCGGGCGCGCCCAGGCCTGCCCGCTCTTCCGCCCGCCTCCGGGCCGCCACATCCCCTACCACCCGCCTGCCTACGGGACAAAGCCCAAGGGCACGTGCCCAGAGCCATGTACCCTGCCTCACCTGCCTGTATCCGACCTGGCGCAGTGCTGCAAGAGTCTGGGTTTCGGGTCTTTAAAACCATTAGGGAGAAATAATAAACAAACGAAGAGCTGCTTTGCCTTTAAAAAAAAAAAAAAACAAAAAAACAAACCTTATGGGACCACAGACATATGTGCAGTCCCACGTTGCCCAAACGGATGTTATGAGGTGCATGGCTGTAATTAACAGCTCTGATGGGAGAAGGTATAAGTATTATTATAGCTAAAATTACATATATATTTATTTATCCATATATAAATTATTCTAGCCCTCTATTATGATAGTAATTGTAAAATGACATCACACTTTTATATGTTCCTAATTACAATGATAACAATCAAAATTATGTAAGATAAAATAATGCAGTGCCTAAGATAGCTTAAGACAATTAAGAGCAGGTAAGGGCTTTGTGTAAAGCCACACATATGAAATGGAGAGTTGAGATAATTAATTGTGTAACAGAATTTTAAAGCTATTGAATAGAAGGGAACTTTTAGTTTAAATTTACCAGATTAAGTATTATAAAAAAATTCCTTGTTGTAAGTATTGGTTTAGAAATTGGAGCATATAATAAAACCTCATTGATTTTACCTTACAGATATTGATACTTACAAGAAGTTGAGAGGTGTACAGAGCAGTTACTAAAATAATACCTTACAAATAAGAAAGCAAGAGCACAGAGCTGTTGACTGGTTTAGTGCTACGCCAGAATCCACATTTACTGGCTCAGATTGTATCATTCTTTTTACTTGCTGTTCAACCAATTGCTCAACTCTCCGCTGGACTTCTCACTGCTGAGAGTCTTCAGTCATGTTTGAAATTAGCACATTGCCATATAGCTAGAGATGATTTATTTCTCACTGAATTGTAGAAAATTGAATTGAGTAAATATTGACCAGCACTGTACAAGGCACTTTGCAAAGAATGTTGGTGTTGGAATTGGAGTAAGACACTGTTTCTGTCCACAAGTTTACAGTCTAATAGTGAGACAATGAAGCACAAAAATAACTGTAAGTACCTTAAGACAGGCAGAAGGCAGTAAGGGAATTCAAAAGAAGGTGTGATGGTAGTTGAATAAATGTAAAATTTTACATTTATAAACAAAAATTAAGTATAGAAATTAATTCAGCCCTTATTCAAACTCAAGAATGTGATTAAGAGTTTGGAATAAGCTTTGTGGCATTTACAAAGAACATTCATCCTCTTTGTAGAGTTCATCAAAATAGTGTTGATGTTTTATGAATATCAAGTAGCAGTTTTTTACAAAGAAAGTAAGTTGGAGATTTAAAAAAACTAAAAGCTATTTTAATGATTGTAGACTGACAATTGGGACAGTTTGGGACCTAAATCCAGATTTATATCTTTTAACAAAATTTTAAGCACTAAAAATGTCCCTGAAGTGAGAGGCTGATGTTCATTTATACAGATTGGGTAACACTGGGTAAGCCAAATCTCTGCTTATTTCACAGAGTTACAAGGGCCAAATAAAAGATTAAAAAGTACTTTATAAATAACTATGGGCTATAAGAACAATATATCATTATTTGAGGAAAGAAAGATATCATGTTACCTGAATAATTGCTTTTTTCCTATTTTTTATTTAGTTTATATGGACAAGAAACCAACCAGAGTAGAAACAGTTTTATAGAGCAGTTCTACTCTGTCCTATAGGATTGCTATGAGTCGGAATCGACTCAACGGCAACGGATTTGTTTTTTTTTTTTTTTTAATTTCATCATGCTACATGAATTAGAGGTTAGAATTCTCTGTGAATAAGACAGAGTAAACTGCTTTTAAGTCAGAATTTAAATATAGGTACTAAATCATTTTGTTCTGCTGAATACAGACCCATATGTTGAATTATACATTTGCACATATAAGGAAGTGTATCATGTAATTATTGAGAAACAAAAACTTCAGGCCTTCCTTTGTCTAACAAAACTTCCTCTGTATGAACTTTATTATAAATTTGTGATTCTGGAAGAGAGAGAATTTGCTTACAGAAATCTGTAGATGGAAATTAAAGTCAAACTGGTAATGGATTACTTGAACATTTTTGAAATTGTTTGTAAGACACCTACCTGAAATTTTGTGGAACTCCTGTAGTATCTCTTTAGCTCATTTAGATCCACCTGGAATATATTTTATATTAATTTTAGCTATTCATCAATTAAATAATTCTCACTTTTATTCTCTATATTTGCAACCATTTCTTTGTACTGGTTCCTTCCCCTCAGCCTATAAACATGCTCCATCCTCTCATGTTTTAAAAAACAAAAACAAACAAAAAAAAATCCAAAACCTTCCCTTGGTTTGTTTTCTTTTTGTTATTGCCCCGTTGTTTGCTATGGTCAACCTTCTCAAGAGAGTTGCCTACATTGCTTATTGCTTTTTCCCACATCTTTCCCTCATATTTATTCCTCAACCCATGGCAATTTGGTGCCAATTTGGCTTCTGCCAGTTCTCTTTACTCCATCAAGACTACCAGTACTGAGGCTACCAGTAACCATCTGATTAGCACACCCAGGGATTCTTTTGGTCTTTAGCATTCTGTTTACTTCTTTTATGGCACTGACCATATTTTGGAATTACACATATTATTTCTTGAGTCATTTATTTAAAACCTCCCTAACCCATTAAATGATAATCTATCAAGGGCAGGGACAAAGTTGATTTTGGTTAGCACTGTATATAACTATTGCCTACCATAGTGCCTGGAACTTATTAAGAGCTCAGTAAATACTTACTGAATGAATGAATAGATCAATGAATGAGGGAAGGAATGAAGAAATGAATTAAAAATTTTGAAGTACTTGAAAATTTTTTGACAACTTTGTCCTTGAAACTTTCTCTTTCCAACGAATCTATGACACCACTCTCTTCTGGTTTACCTTACTTCTTCAGGTCCTAGTTTTCTGTGTCTTTCTTGGACTTTTAGAATAGCCATTTAAAAGTCATATTACCCAGGATTCAACTCTATTCTCTTTTCTTTTTATACTTGCTTCCTAGGAAATCTCACCAAGTTTCATAGTTTTAAAGTTCACCGTATATGTTGATACTACCAAATCTGTACCTCCACCTAAGATCACTTTCCAGGCTGTTGATCTGTGCAAACAACTCCCCTTTGTGTTCTTCACGTAGAAGTTTCAGTCATCTCAAATGTAACCTGCACCAGACTTGAATTTATCATCATTCTCCATTCCCCCTAAACCTAACCATGCTCCTTTTCCTCCTGTTGGTTCCATTTTGGCTATGAGCATCTTCATCTACACTGGCCGGTGATCCTACAACCGCTCATTCACCCTCTGCCCTCATCCAGCCAGCAACCATGTTCTACCAATTCTTCTTCCTAAAATTTTCTCATGTTCATTCTCTCCTTTTAGCACTGGTGTCCCTGCCTTCAGTTTTGCTCCCCTTCATCCATTCTACAATGGCAGCCAGAGTGATTCTCTAAATGAGGTCATTTAACGAACTGATTTACATTAAATCCTACAATGACTCTGCATGACTTTAAGAAAAAAGTATTCAAGCTCTCTTTCATGGTATACAAGGCTCTATTTTCTCTCACTCTCTTCCTGCAGGATGCCACAGCCATGCTGTTACAGCAGTTCCTCAAACGCATCACAGCCTCACCTTGATGTCTTTGCCATGCTGTTCCTAGTGCTTGGAACATATGTTCTGCCTTCTGTGGGAGTGGAGAGGTGCAGATAACTCCAACTCATTCATCAAGACTTGGCTCAGGAGTCCCCTCTCTCACATTGTTTTCTCTGAGCCCCGTAACACCCTGGGCTCACTTCTTTCATGACTCACATCACAAAATCTCAACATTTGTCTTTTGTCTGTCTGTCCTTCTTAGTGAGAACTACTTGAGAGGGTACAATTCATGTCTTTGTCCTCTGTTTCTCATTTCTAACACAGTGTCTAACATGTAGCAGGCGCTCAGTAAATGTATGGTAAGTGATAGAGGAATAGCGAGGCATTTGTTAATATTCGAATCTAAAAGAATTAATACTAATATCGTACCTAGATTCCTATGTTTCGGTTACAGGAAGGGAGCAATTTTCTTTGTACTATTTATTAATTGACCAAAGTGTTGGAACCTCGACACATGGCAGCAGCATCTTCTAGCAGTCGTCAAGGCTGTCCGAGGTCAGAAGTTTTTAGTATTGCAAACTTCCCAACTCCCGTTTCCCCCACTTTTTTTTCCCTGTAACTTTTACCCATATACACGTACTAAATTTTATGGAAATATATTAGAAAATGTATAAGATGTGCTCATTTAATGATTTCCTGTGAAGCAAAATGGCTTACTGAGCCACAGGTAGACTAGATACGGGTCTAAGTTGATACCCTTATAGGTCATGTACCAAGCTTGAGCAAAATCAGTCAGCTCCTTCAAAGCTTATACAGGACCAATAGATAACATTTCAAGTGCTAAGCAGTTAAGTTAAAAGATTATCACCACAACTACCACAGCCTCCACCAGACTGAGTCCAGCACAACTAGATGGCGCCTGGCTACCACTACCGACTGCTGTGACAGGGATCATAAAAGAGGGTCCCAAACAGAGCTGGAAAAAAATGTAGAACAAAATTCTAACTCACAAAAAAAGACCAGATTTACTGGCCTGACAGAGACTGCAGAAACCCAGGGAGTATGTCCCCTGGACACCCTTTTAGCTCAGTAATGAAGTCACTCCTGAGGTTCACCCTTCAGCCAAAGTTTAGACAGGCCCATAAAACAAAATGAGACTAAATGGGTACACCAGCCCAGGGGCAAGGACTAGAAGGCTGGAGGAGACAGGAAAGCTGGTAATAGGAAACTCAAGGTCGAGAAGGGAGAGTGTTGACATGTCGTGGGGTTAGCAACCAATGTCACAAAACAATATATGTACTAATTGTTTAATGAGAAGCTAGTTTGTTCTGCAAACCTTCATCTAAAGTACAATAATAAAAAAAAAATTAAAAAAAAGATTACCCCCTCCCCCATCTAGGGAGAATGATTTTAGCACGTTTATCCCTTTACTTTTAGTGTTTTCTATGATCCTATGATTGAATAAATGTAAATGATACTAAAACCTGCTAGATTAAATGAAAGTGCCATCTAGTGATTTTAAAATCCCACTTCTTTGGAGCATTAAATAAATTGGGCATAATTAGCCTTATGAGGATCAGCGTGCTTACTGGTAACAATTAGGTACTTATTTTTAAAATGTCATCCCATTTTATTCTCTCTTTTAAACCTCTTCATTGTGCAGGCAACATTTCCTCAGGGGAATCTTACTTTAGGAAGGATATGCTAATCACACCTAAATCCTTTTCCAACAAATAGTTTTTAAAGAAGCTCTACCCAGGTATTGTATTTACTTATTATTCACCTTTTCTGATACACGACCCATAGAAACTTCTTAATTTTCCAAAGTACAGATAGAAGTGTTTCAAAGATAGTACTATGGTCTGAAACAGTATAAGATACATTCTGACAGGAAGTAAATGCTATCAACAGATCAACTATAATAGATATTAAATAATTATTCCAAGAAAAGGAATCCTTAAACCAAGATTGAAAGTCATTCATTCCTTCACACATTTCTTGATTATCTACTGTCTGAATTCCTAGAATAGGTCAGAAAATGAATCAAATACTCTACCTACTCTCAAGAAACTTCATATCTGATAAGAAAGATAGTTACATATACAGCTAGGAAACAAGAGAGAGAAGTTAATAACTGTGTGAACATTCATTCATTTAACAATTTACTCATCACCCGGACTCTGAACAAGGTGTACACACTGTCTCATTTAATCGTCACAGTAGGGTTATGAGATGGGTACTTCGATTCCCATCTTAAGGATGAAGAATACTGTCTTCATGAAAGGGTAAATTTATTTTCTTTAAGCAATACTGTTAGCTAATTTCAGAGATGGAATTCGATCCTGATATGTTTGTTTCTACTATATCATAATTAGCCTAATCATTATTCAATGAAATCACATAACAGCTGTATGAGTAAAGTGTATGGAGCATAGAGAATGGGAAGGTTAATTTTCTTCAGGTCAGATCATAGACTGAGGGGATTAAGTGCTGAAAGCAGTAACTATTATGGAAGGCCTGACTGTCAGGAGATGGTGCTGAGCATTTATTTCCATGGATCATTATGATTGGTAAGTAAGTTTAGCAAAGGATTGTGGGTGTGAGTATCTCATATCTAAATAAACCCCACTGTCATTTCTAATTCTATTTCTCCTGTCCGTAGAGGAATTTACTGGTCCTTGGTTCAAAATTACGCTGTTTATGTAGCACCATTTTCAGAGGAAGATATTGTAAATAAATATGTGGAAAACTTGTAAACCCTCCTGATTCACTCTAGTGTAGCCTTTAGCACCTCAGTTGGAAAAATCTCTTATCTTTTACTTGTCTATCTTCCTTCAGCACCTTTGGGAATTGATGTTTCCATCATCCAGCCCTGGCAACTATAGGTATTTAATAAATGTTTGCTGAATAAATGAACGAAAACTTGGTGGTGCACACCAAAGGTAGCATGGATAGCCAAATGTAGAGAGACCTTCAGGTTGAGTACTCGACTTGTATAGTCTTCTTACCAAATGTAATCATGTTTAAAGGCTAAAAAAACCTACTCTAAATTAAAGAAACCATTAAGCTTCTTTTGAACAAACAAAGCAATTAGTTCCTGCTTTATATTTGTAGCTCATGATGATGCATTTTAAATAGAGCCCATTGAGTGTGTTTTTATTGGTTATTTTTCTTGGTTTTAACACTCTATTATGTGCAAAGACCTCTTAGAAAATTGAAAATAGAAGTCTCCCCTTACTGATTTTGTCATTTGCCACTTGTCAAACATTGATTTTCTACCCCCTTGTGCATTTAATGGAGGTGGAAATTAGGGCTCTTTTTTTTCTTGTTGTTTACTTCTTATTTGTACGCCATCATCATCATTCATCAAGCTGCCAGTGAGCTCTGGGGATACAGCTAGTGAGTTAACTAATGCTCTGAAGTCCACACAGGAATTTTTTGAATAGATTTTTACCAGAGTTTTGTCTCTTGGCTTTAAAATTTCTTTCTAGGAAAGATTTCAAATATATTTCTGAAAGAAAAAATAACCCAAACTGCCGATTTCCAGATGTTCGATAATCTAAAAATATTCTAAAGAAAATATTCAGGAGATTAAGAAGCCTACTTTTCTTATCCAAAAATATGCATAAACCTAAGGTGCCATAGACTCGGTCACTTGCTTCTTCTACTGTGACATTGAAGTACATATTCTGTGAAGCCCTTGCTGGGTCTTGTAAAGACGATTGTCACAGTGGACATCTGTTGGAAAGGAAGCATCCTTCTAGTTGACTGGGGAAGGGGCAGAGGGGTACAGGCTATACTGGTATTATGAAATATGTGTTTTTGTTTCTGTCGTTGATTGATTGGATTAGCTATGAAATCCCCTTGACACAGAGAATAAATCCAGAAGACAATTTTTCCTAAGGGCAAGAATGCTAGTAGTTTCTGAGGTAGGCTCTTGCATTTGATCATGAGAAATGGGATGAATCTGGAAAGTGGAGAATGAAAAAAAGACACCAGTAGGTACCATATAATTAAAAAACCAGACCAAGCCATGGTGGTGTTCTGTGTGTTTGTGATTTGCACACGGCTGCAGCTTGTGTGGCTTCCTCTTTATAGTTTAGCTGTCTTGATGGGTCTTGATGGTTTATTGTTCTCTCATTCTCTTACAGCACTGTCTGACTGTACTTTTTGCAATAATGGAAATCATCCGTGCTGTCCAATATAATAGGCACTAGTCGTGTGTTGTTGAGCACTGGAAATATGGATAGTGTGACTGAGGAACCTGAGTTTTTTTATGCTATTTAATTTTAATTTATTAAAATTTAAATTTGAATGGACACATGTGGCTAGTTGCCACCATATTGGACAGTGCAGAGAGTCTATACTGACTAAAAGATTTATGACACCTTTGCTCTTCTTTTTGAGCTAATTTTTCCCAAAGTTTCCAAGTCTAAAATCTTGGACTTGAATTCTGTGCTATGTGTAGGCACAGTGCTTGGTGCCGACTATATAATGACAAGACGCAGTCTGTGCCCTACAAAATTAAGAGCCTAGTGCTTTCTGACAACACCAGGCTGCCACTTGAGAAGACTGAGTAAATGCTAATGAACAAAATAATACCTGCCTTATTTAAAAAATATTGAGGTAAATGACAGTCTGTAATGTGTAGGGAAACAACTGCTTGGTAGACTGAGGTTTGATTACTACAAGAATATTACATTAAATTCTTTATCCTTTTTTGCATTGATAAAATATATATTATTTACTTAAAGTATGTTTACAGTTTTGACATTTCAGATTTGGCATTATCTTTGTATCCTCAAGTATTACCAAAATTCAGAAATACCGACTGAACTAGCATAGCGTAGTTGTTGTGAGCATGGGTTTTGGAATCAGACAGACTTGGGTTTGAATCTTGACTCTGCTGTTTTTCTAGCTTTGTGCCTTGAGAAAATCACCTCCCCTTCCCTCTCCAAATGTCAATTTCCTCATCTTTAAGTGGGGGCCTAGTAAGAATATATTCCTCACGTTGTTGTTGCTGTTGTTAGTTGCCATGTAGTCATGGCAACCCCATGTATGCCGAGTAGAACTTGCTCCATAAGCCTTTCAAGCCTGTGATCTTTCAGAAGCAAATCACCAGGCCTGTCTTTGGAGGCACCTATAGGTGTGTTTGAACTGCCAACCTTTCAGTAGTAGTCTAGCACTTAACCCTTTGCACCACCCAGGGACTCCATATTCCTTAATTCCTCATAGGAATTGAAAGGATTAAGTGAGACCTTATAAATAAATTAACTAGTTTAAGAATGAGGGCTGATACCGTTGAGTCAATTCTGACTCCTAGCTACCTTATATGACAGAGTAGAACTGCCCCATAGGGTTCCAAGGCTGTAATCTTTACAGAAGCAGACTGCCACATTTTTATCCTATGGAGTGGCTGGTGAGTTCAAACCAGGGCTCCATAAGAATGATGGCTAACATTTAATACGCATTTACTGTGCTCCAAGGAGCCCTGGTGGCGTGGTGGTTAAGCCCTCGGCTGCTAATGGAAAGGTGGGTGGTTTGAACTCACTAGCTGCTCATCAAGACCAAGATGCGGCAGTCTGTTTCTGTAAACATTACAGCGTTAGACACCCTATGGGGCAGTTCCACTCTGTCCTAGAGGGTTGCTATGAGCTGGAGTTGACTCGACAGCAATGGGTTTGGTTTTTTTTTTTTTTTTTCTATGCTCCAGACACAGTTACAGGGATTTTATACAAGTCGACTCATTTAATTAATATTATAAGAAAGGTATATTGTTATTCCCATTTTAAAGACGAGGGAACTAAGGCACAGAGAGATGCATTGTCCCCAGCATATAGTGAGCACTCAGTGTAGTTGTTGTTATTATTATTACTGAGGATTTCCTGTGGTTAAAGACCCACATATGCAGAGGCAGGCAGTGAAACATTAAGCAAAACAATTTTGTTAGTACTTTTTTGTAGTACAACCCGATATTATTCATTTGTCAATTTCTACTTCTCCCCAGCCCTACTTACTATTATTTCTCCTCCTCTTATAAACTGGAGTCTGGGCTGGACTAATAGCATGTCACAAAAGTAGATGATATCACATACGATGTCTATAATAAACCAGTAGTGTGTGTTGTCCGGTGTTTGATATGGAAAGACAAGGCGCAGTGGGATAAGCCAGCAGTTCCAGTTATAGGCAATGGTGACAAGCAGGAGCCACAGGAGATAGAATCGATCTAGAAAAGCAGCAACCATAGTCATCTAACTGGCAAGTAACAAACATTAAAAGAATTCTCTTGCTTACTTTGATAAAGTGGGGGTACTACCTTCTGGAAATAAGCAAAATGCTACAAGAAGTTCTATTAAATGCTCAAGGCTTTTGCCTCTTGAGCAGAGGCATTGGGCTGTAAAAGGGATGGTAAGTGATCTTCTCAACTCGTCTAAAACTGGAAAGCATCCTTTCTGTCTCCTAGAAGTGGCCACTCTGTGTTTGTTCTCAAAGGCCACTGCACTATTCAAGTCAGGAAAGGGTAAACACAAGAAAAGCCAGAGGCAAGCTTCTCAGGCATCATTGCAGCAACTGGTCTCTTGCTCATCAGTAGTTAAGCTGCAGGATCTCCCAGAGCAGGTGGGAGAAGGGTCACATTTTGCCTGAAGGGAAGAGTTCCATGGAATTGGTGCTGAGGTGGGGAGGGCAGAAAATCAGTTAATGACGTAGTGTCTGCCCCTTCACCCACAGCCTTCCTCTGCCCAAGGGAGGCAGCAGGAGGGATTTGTTGAATTAGAATCATTAACAGTGCGAATCCACGGAAGAAGACAGACGTTATGTATTATAATATACATACATATAATATATAAATTTTCTTTTTGGTGTCAGTGTAATTATTGCTGAGTGCTTTGATGCCTTTTTTTCAAAGGTAATTAATGGTAGGACAAGCCCTGGACTGCCTTTTAAAAACGGGCAGTAGCATTTTCTCTCTCGTGCTCACTAGAGTGGGGCAAATGATCCTTTGCTTATCATATAGTTTAAATTCCGCTTTCTAGATAGGTTTAGAATGTGGACTAGGCAAATAGAAGCCACCTGGGACTTTGATTCTTGGTGTCAGCCACTCCTTCCATTGAGATAGTCCACCCTTTGTTGGTACCTGTGTATGAATCTATGCTTCTTGAAAGTCTGATTCGCTTTAAGTAATCTGTCAGAGGCAACTTCCGGAATTTACAACACAACATGCCGTAGTAATGCTCTTCTTTTGGCTTAGCATCGCTTCCTTGTGTAGATGGTATAGCTGTGGGCTTTGCTTCATATGAAAGAAAAGATGAAAAACTGTTTAAGAGGTTAGATATCATTGATTTTGCAATGTCTTTGATTTAAAAAATTCTGCTCAGAATTTTATCAAGGTTATGTGCCTAATGCTGAGTAGGAAGCTGTCATTGACTATGGAGAGGGTCATGGCCACAGACTTTACTCTGAGGAGCAAAGCATTCTTGTGTTCTTCTCTAAAATATATTTCAAAGCCCTGAAATAACTTTCAAAGCATCTATTCAATAATAGAATCAAAGTTGAAAAAGGGAGCAAACTTGTTTACAATATGCAATCAAATGATCTTTCTTTGTCCTGCTGATCTAGTTTCATCCTATTTTATTTAGTTCACTTCTATTGCATATACTACCATTGTATAAGGATCAAGTTAGTTTAAGGAGCAGAAAGCTTGGGTTTCTTCAAGTCAGAGCATTAGAGAAAATTCTCCTTTCAATACAGGCAGATGAGACAAAACCTTCATGACAGTTAAAATAGTTACATTTATGAAAACATTCCAAAGACACCAGAATTTAGAAATGCACAGCAGGTTTTAAGCTCACATTATTAATAAAATGTCACAAAAGAGTTACAAATGGGATATTTTAAATACAAGCTTGAATCTCACATATTTTGGACCATAACTGAAGTCAGTGCTTTGGGTTTACTCTGAACAGAAACATTACAAATGTACACCATGTCATGGATTTTAGTTTCTTGCTTTAGCCTCACCCATAATCTTTAATTATGGGTAAATAAAGCTCAAAATTTTCTTTCCAGTATACCTTTATCAAACTATAATGACTCTGTATGATTTATTTTAGCTACTTCTTTTTGCAAAGAAACTTTTATACAATGCGTAGTTTACTTTGCAAATCCCACTTCCTATACATAGCATTATAAGGAAACATTCAACTCCATTCCATGCGAATAACAATTTGATTTTTATTTATCTATTATTAAACAACCAAACTTTCTTTTATTCTTTTTCTCTACATACATATTTTACATAAACATAATTATAGCGTATATTACTTTTGTACTTATTATTTCATAAATACACTTCTGTAATTATTAGGGGGAATCCTGGTAGTGCAGTGGTTAGGAGCTATGGCTGCTAACCAAAAGGTCGGCAGTTCAAATCCACCAGCCGCTCCTTGGAAACCCTATGGGGCAGTTCTTCTCTGTCCTATAGGGTTGCTATTATTATTAGGGAGGTTGAAAATTGTTCCTCTTCTTATGTGACCTGTCTTGATATCCATGGCTTAGTTGTATACTCAGGTAGTATCCTTGTATTTTTATATAAGCTCTTTATGCAGAGGGTCAGCAAAAACAAAGAAAACCTTCAATGAGATGTACTGACACAATGGCTGCAACAGTGGACTCAAACATACCAACAATCATGAGGATGGCACAGGACTGGCCACATTTAGTTGTTATACATAAGGTCACCATGTGTCAGAGATGACTTGAGAGCAACTAACAACAACCAACTATGTATTACAGGTATTCTCAGGGGCAGATTAACCAGTAAGCATGGTATGCACCAGTTTGCATTGAGCAAGGTATCCATGGGTTTATTGTATTTACTTGCTAATCTGTGGTGAGCAATTTCACATGAGTTTCACCATATGTGGTGGGGGACAGATGAAACTGTGCACTGCAGATTGATGGGAAGGTAAAATTGGACCCGTGCATACCTTGCTTATTGGGTAATCTGGCCCTGGGAATTCTTTCTTAATAGTTTACAATAAAACTTGCTGTATTATTGGTGACCCATGCATATACCCTGGGTCCACCTGGAGGTGCTGCAGAGGGCTACCTGTGTCTCTCTGTCAGAGGGTTTTCTCTAACTGCCAGAGCAGGCTTGCCTGAAGTGCTGGGGAGTTAACAACCTACCACACTGATACCCCTGCTTCTTCCATTTTCTTTAGGATAATTCTTATGTGTGATCCACACAATTTTCCAGTGGGATCAAACCCTGGTTGCCCACAGCATTAACCCTCTCACAACAGACCCTTTATTGGCTTTACTCCCTTCTCTGTCTTTCCCACTTTCACTATCCTTCCTGGATCACACTAAAAATAAACCAAATAAAGTTTCCACAGAGTTGATTCTAACTCATGGCAACCCCATGTGTCACAGAGTAGAACCATACTCTATAGGGTTGTCTTAGCGGTAATCTCAATGGCGGCAGATCACCAGGCCTTTCTTTTGCAGCACCACTGGGTGGGCTCAAACCACCAATCTTTCAGTTAGCTGCCAAGCACAAGCTGTTTGTGCCACCCAACCAAAACCAAACCAAACCCGTTGCTGTTGAGTTGATTCCGACTCATAGCGACCAAATAGGACAGAGTAGAACCGCCCTGTAGAGTTTCCAAGGAGCGGCTGGTGGATTCAAACTGCTGACCTTTTGGACACAGGGATTTCAAAACAAACTATTTGTACCTAAACCATTGTTTTGGAGTCTGCTTTTGGGGAAACCCAAACAAAGGCAATTTTAAAGTTCAAATTATCTCATAACTCCCTTCTTTCTAGTACTTTGAGGTACAATGCTTACCAGCTTGGGGGCTGCCTTCAGGTGAGGATATATCTCCCTCTGCCAACTTTCTCCTGTAGAGGGCTGTTCTTTGACGCATCCTTTCCACTAGGTTGTGTAGGTGGGCATCAGCATACTCATTTATAACAGTACCTCTGGGTGGTTTGCTCTTTGGACTAAATGTGGAAAAAAAAATGGTGACAGAGAAGGACTTATGAGGAGATAAGTAAAGGAGAGGGATTAAGTTTTTCCCTATCCTTATATACCCAAGGTTATTAACTGCCTTTTACTGTTATTGAATAGAACAATTCAGATATTAAGTTTGATGGAAATAGTGCCGGTGGAATATAGATTTGACATTGAAAAATGAGCAAATGGCCATTTTTGACCATATTGGATCTTGGGGTCTGTGATTCTGCCATTAAATTATATCACTAGAAGAAAGAAAGCTATAGTTGGTATGGTAGGCAAAATTCTAATGGTTCCCAAGATTTCCTGCCCCTTGGTGTACACACTCTGTATAGTCCTGTGGACTGTGAATATGATGGATTTTACTCTCATATTGTTGTTGTTAGCTTCTGTTGAGTTGCCCTGGCTCATGATGAGTTCATGCACAACAGAACAGAATGGTGCCTGGTCCTGTGCCATCCCCATGATCAATTGGGGATTGGACTGTTATGATCCATACATAGGGTTTTCATTTGCTGCTTTTTGGAAGTAGATTGCCAGTTCTTTCTTCCTAGTCTGTCTTAGTCTGGAAGCTCTCTGAAACCTGTTCAGCTTCATAACAACACTCAAGCCTCCACTGAAAGACAGGTGGTGGCTGTGCATGAGGTGCATTGGCACTGGCCAGGAATCGAATCTGGATCTCGTACATGAAAGGCAGACATTCTACCACTGAACCGCCACTGCCCTCTACTCCCATAATTAGTTTTTTAATGTGGCACAGATGACTTTTAGGTAAAGAGATTTTCCAGGTGTGCCTGACCTAATCACCTGAGGCTTTTAAAAGTAGAGATTGGCTACAACTGGTGACAGAGGAGGACATCAGAGATTTGAAGCACAAGGGGGTTTGACTCAAGAGATAGTCTCCATTGCCAGCTTCAAAGAAGAAGGGGACCGTGTGACAAGAACTGCATGAAGCCTCCAGGAGCTGAGAGGAACCCTCGGCTGACAACTGGCAAGGAATTAGAGGCTTCAGTCCTACAACCACAAGGAACTGAATCCTGCCAGTAATCTGAATGAGTTTAGAAGTGTTTTCTTCCCCAGAGCCTCCAGATAAGAGCGCAGCCTTGCTGACATCTAGATTTTGGCCTTTTGAGACCTCAAGCAGAGAACCCAGTTTAGCCCAAACAGACTTACATCTACTGAACTGTGAGTTAATAAACAAGTGTCATCTTAAACTGCTAAATTTGTGGTAATTTGTTGCACAACAATAGAAAATCAATACAACTTGTGTGCTTTAACGGATTGCCTTTTTAGAAAACTTTTACAAACAGACTTGTTCAGAGCATAGGGTGAATACTAGTATACTTCCTAGAGCTCTGAGTTTTTTTTCCACAGGTTTTCCTCACAGCTCTCACCCTCTGCCTTCCCTCTGAGGTTGGACACTGGGTATACACGGGCCCGTGTAACCTCTACCCCTCCAGTCTCCTCACATTCACAGCTGACCCTTCCATCTCACTTCCAAATTGGAGTCCATGAAGTTTACATCAGAACTAGACAAAATGTAGACTGTATTTAAAGGAAACCCCAGTATGAGCCCCTTTCCATTCACCCAACATGAATATATCACATCTGTAATTGTTTACAGATTCCCAAATCATTGTCTTTCTCTCTTCCCTTCTTATAATCATTGTATACTTTATACCTCTTTCAAAGGTCAAAGGTCCTACCTCAGCCTCAAGATTCTTCAGATGTGTCACATTAAGAACTTTATAAACAGTCTTAAGAATGGTGAAGACTGAGCTTCGGAGGATGTAATTCTAACATATCTTAAACAATTTAGAAATAGGTAGACACTAGCTCCACAAAATCAAGAAAATCTTTTTCTGATTAGGAAATGTCATCATATATATAATTTCACTGATTACTTCTTAAAATCTTAGTGTGTCTACTTTATTCATCCATCAAATATTTATTAAGTTTCTGCTTTAGGCACCAAGAGTATAAAGATGAGATAGACTATCCCTATGAATGTTCATAGTCTAATGGGGGAAGCAAAGATTTAAATAAATAGCCAGTAAAAATCAATAAAGATATGTACAAAGTGCTATTCCCACACTAAACTTGACCTGGGGTACTAAGAAGAGATTTCATAGAGGAAGTACATTAAGTCTTAAAGTGTTAGCAGGCCTTTAACAGAAATGGAAGAAGGGCCTTTCAGGCCTTGAGAGCAACATATTAAAGATGTGAAAGAACGTAATGTATTCAGGGAACAGAAAGAATTTTGGTATGAATGAAATAGAGTGTGTGCACAGAGAGTGCCAGGTAGTGGAGGTGGGTCTGGAAAGGTGGGTGGGGCCAGGTCATGAGGGGTCCTATATGACTTGCTTAGGCATTTGAACACCAACCTGTAGGCTAATGGCCGCCAGTGCAGAGTATTAAGAGTATGAAGCAAACGAAGGATCTGAGCAGATAGATTTGTGTTTTGGAGAGGTAGCAATGGTGGGAAGATGGGTTGAAGAGGAGTACTGTAAAGCATGGAGACAAGGAAAGAGTTATTCTAACAGGTTAGGCTTAAGCTGATGAAGGAAATAAAGAGGGATTAAAGAAACATTTTGGAGGCAGAGCTCACAGTATTTGGTGCCTTTTCTGTAGCTTTTGGATAAATTCAAATAAAGGATCAAAAGAATAATTCCTAAGTTTCTATCAGAAGAGACTAGATTTATGAAGACATCATTAATATAAATAGGAATTTAGAAAGCAGATATTACTGTGTGAAGGGTACATGAGAAAAATGAGCTCTTTTTTGTGTATGTTCAATTCAAGGTGTTTATAGGACCTTGTGTGAAAGGAGATTGTTTGTGATACTTCAGGAGACATTCAGAAATGTGGTTTAGGTGCTAGGATCTTGGTGGTCATCAGTGTATATGGCATATTTGAAGTATGTGGATGACACCATCATAGACTGTGAAGTTCTCAAGATGAAGACCTATGTCTTATCTTTATAGCCCACAAAGCCTAGGAAAAGGTACATTTCTAATAAATACTTATTGAATAAATAAACCCACTAGTTCTAACCTTTTGTTTGACCTTATTTGATGGTCTCAATGCTCTTAAAAAATCTATAAGAAGTGACATTGAGGGTTGTTGGATCATTAACTATAAGTCAGGATATTCAAACTGTCAAAATGGGTAATTCAAGCCCTAAGAACGTATTTTTTTCTCTTCCTGACCTGTATATAAACCATAATTGACTATATAATTGCCACTTGATCACACTGGTTTTTACTATGCAAACCTACTTCACGGTTAAAATGCTGAAAATCATACTAGAAAGCATACAAATATTTCAAATACATGTGTACATACATATATTTATATATTTCACTTACTGTGAAATTTTATTTTTATATTAGCTAGGTATTAATATGTTAGTCTATTTTGTCTTTTTTTTCTCCTAGCTTCTTTTCAAGAGTAATCCTTGAACTTATCCCCAGCCTATGTATACAGAAGCTATGAATATATTTTTCTTTAGGTAATTTTGTGAACAAACAGAGCAAGGCAAATTAAGTTGAAAAAAAATATATTTCATGAAATAAACAATAAACTGTTTGGGGGTAGAATGTTGTTGTTTTGTAGGTGCCGTCGAGTTGGTTCTGACTCTCAGCGACTCTGTGTACAACAGAAGGAAACACTGCCTGGTTCTGCACCATCCTCACAACGTTTGTTATGCTTGAGCCCATTGTTGCAGCCACTGTGTCAGTCCATCTAGTTGAGGGTCTTCCTTTTTTTCGCTGACCCTCCATTTTACCAAGCATGGTGTCTTTCTCCAGGGACTGGTCCCTCCTGGTAACACGTCCAAAATCCGTGAGATGAAATCTTGTCATCCTCGTTTCTAAGGAGCATTCCCTCTGTACTTCTTCTGAGACAGATTTGTTTGTTCTTCTGGCAGTCCATGGTATGTTCAATATTCTTCACCGACACCATAATTCAAAAGCGTCAATTCTTCTTTGGTCTTCCTTATTCATTGTCCAGCTTTTGCATGCATATGAGGTGACTGAAAATATGATAGGTAGAATAGGGAACCAATAAATGTGCCTTATATAAATATGATCCATTTGAGATATATTGGATATTTCTAGTTCTTACCATTTGTATGTTTTTAAAGAATAATTCCTCATAATTCCTTGATGAAAGAGTCAGTAAATAGCAACAATACTTAATTTTTTAAAAAATTGTGTTTTAGGTGAAACTTTACAGAGCAAATTAGTTTCTCATTCAATAATTTATACTCAAATTGTTTTGTGATATTGGTTGTAATCCCTGCGATGTGTCAACACTCTCCCCTTCCCCACCCTGGGTTCCCCGTTTCCATCTGTCCATTTTTCCTGTCCCTTACTGCCTTCTCGTCATTGCTTTTGGTTTCATATACGTGACTGAACTAAGAAGCACGTTCCTCACGTGTGTTATTGTTTGTTTTATAGACCTGTCTAATCTTTGGCTGAAGGGCGAACTTTGGAAGTGGCTTCAGTTCTGAGTTAAAAGGGTGTTTGGGGGCCATAGTCTTCGGGGGTTTGTTCAGTCTGTGTCAGACCAGTAAGTCTGGTCTTTTTTTTTTTGTGTGTGTGTATTTGAATTTTATTCTACCTTTTTTCTCCTCATCTGTCCAGGACCCTCTATTGTGATCCCTGTCAGAGCGGTCAGTGGTTGTAGCCACACACCATCTAGTTCTTCTGGGTTCAGGCTTGTGGAGGCTGTGGTACTTGTGATCCATTAGTCCTCTGGAGTACTATTTCCTTGTGTCTTTGGTTTTTTTCATTCTTCTTTGTTCTGACGAGATGGGACCAGTAGATGTGTCTTAGATGGCTGCTCACAAGCTTTTAAGACCCCAGACACTACTCACCAAAGTTGGATGTAGAATATATTGTTTATGATCTTTGTCATGCCAATTGACCTAGATGACCCCTGTGACCAATATTTTACAAATTTTGATAAACAAATGAACATAGAA